TTGTGTCAGGAGGCTGAAGCAGGATCTCTGTGAGTTAAGAGGGCAACATAGACTAGTGAGTTCAAGGCCAGCCTGAACTGTGTAGGGAGACCCTGTCTCCAACAAAAAAGTTGCCTTTATTATCTTATCATAGAAAGAGGATGATGGCCTTTCTGAAATTTCTGTACATATTTACAAATGCTAACAGATCTTTCAGCACGAATGGAATTGTATTTACATTGTTTCCCAGTTCGCCGTCCTGTTACACAGCTGTGTCTGTTGGACAGTGATTGGTATATGTACGAACACGTGGCAGCTTTTGCAAGAGGACGGCCGCAGCTAGCTTCGTTGGCTATATTTGTCCCAGTCCATTTAACCAGAACTTTCGTGGATGGACGTGTGCAATGGGCATGTGCAACCACGGAGGGTGTAGAGTTGCAGGAGAAATACTTAGCGGAGCTGCTGGGTCAAGCTGTAGACTCTGAAAATTCTGATAAGATTAACACCCCGTCCAAGAAGGGGTGAGTGTATTTTCCTATGCTTTCACCAATCCTGGACCTTATGTACTATTTTAAAATACTTCTAAAAAAAGTGAAAAAAAACCCAAAACTTCTATGAAAAGATTTTGTGGGGAAAATTATATCCTGCTTTGATTTATAATTTCCAGTTATGAGTGAGATGTATTTTATTAGGTTTTCTTTCTGCCATGCAGTACCTATTACTGGTGTTAACTGTTTTTCTAGTGGACTTTCTTCCCTCTGGACCTAGAGTTCTCTTTACTGTGACTCTTGTCTAGAGACAGCACCTTGCGCACTGTCACTGTTCTGGAATAGTCTAGCTTTGGCCAAGTAGAGCCTGATTTGGGCCTTGCTTCCCTAATGACTGTGAGGAAAGGGAAGGTGAGGAGAAGCTGGTGGCCGTGGTGCTTTCTCCTCTTGCATCAGAAGGGACTCCTGTAGTGGCCTGGTAGACCAAGTTGGGGCTCTTCACTCACTGTCCTCAGTTTGGCCATGTGTTTGTCGTGCTCAGCCTGCACATTATTGCCTGGTGCCTTGGAACTTAGAGTCTCTCTAAATGGTTTTGTTGTTTTCGTTTTTTTGCAGTGTTGGGCATCTAACCCAGGGTCATGACCATGCTGAGCAAGCATTCTATCACTGAGGCACACCCCCGATCCCTAGAAATGCTTTTTTTGGTTGGTGTTTGGTTGTTTTTTTGTTTTGTTTTGTTTTTGGTACCGGGGATCGAACTCAGGTCCTTGCATTTGCGCAGCAGGCAGCAAAACCACTGAGCTAAATCCCCGGCCCAGGTGTTTGGTTTTTTGAAATGGGATTTCACTGTATTGCCCAGGCTAGTCCTGAACATGAGCTCAAGTGATCCTCTCATCTCAGCCTCTTGAGTTACCATTGCTGCTTTTGTGTGTGTGTGGTACAGGTATTTAACCCAAGGCTTTTGTGTTGAGCTATATCCCTAGCCCTATTTTAATTTTTTTTCTTTTGAGATAGGGTCTTGCTAAGTTGCTTAAGCTGGGCTCAAACTTGTGATCCTCCTGGCTTAGTCTTCCAGGGTACTAGGATTACACCATACCCAGTTTTTCATTTTTTTTTTTTTTGGTACTGGGGATCAAACTCGGGTCCTTGCACTTGCGAGGCAGGCACCGGAACCACTGAGCTAAATCCCTGGCCCCTTTCATTGTTTTTATTTTGGTACTGGGGATCGAACTCAGGTCCTTGTGCTTGTGCAGCAGGCGGCAAAACCACTGAGCTAAATCCCCTGCCCCTTCATTGGTTTTTGAAGGAGAGAAGAAAGGAAGGAATGATTTGCTCACCCAGAGTGAGCAGTTGTTTTGGATAACTTGATGGCATTCACACCATTGGTAACCCCCTACTAGGTATGGTACATTTTTGATTTTATACTTAAATGAAACTGTCTTTCCAAGACACCTATTTTCCCCAAGGCTTTTTTTTTTTTTTTCCCCGGTACTGGGGATTGAACTTGGGACCGAACTTGGGACCTTGTGCTTGCAAGGCAGGCGCCGGAACCATTGAGCTAAATCCCCAGCCCATTTTTCCCCAAGGTTTGAGGTCAGCATCTCAGTGTTATGGGAAATGGCTAACTGCAGCCCAGATCGTAGGCCCTGATTGTGTAGCTGGTTTACCACTGGTGCTGTTTCCAGTCATTCTTTCCTGGCCTCTCTCCCCAGATGGTGAAAGTTCTGGGAGCAAAAGGCCCAACGTGGAGTTATCTAAGGAGGAGCTGAAGGTCCATGCCACCAAGGGCACACTGGGCAAGCTCACTGTGCCCATGCTGAAGGAGGCCTGCAGGGTGTGTGGGCTCAGAGGTGGGCTAAAGAAGCAGGAGCTGGTGGACGCGCTCACCCAGCACTTCCTGAAGGACTGAGTGGATGGCTAGCTGCCTTCAGCCTTCCTCCTTCCCGCCTTCCCCAACTTACCAGTTATTTCTGCAGAGTTGCCAAGTGCTGCCTATTGGGAGCCAAGGGCTTTAGGTTTGTGGAACCTCTTGTTACCATGGAGACCATGCAGCTCTCCCATTTTGCTATGCCTTATCTACTTCGTGAATAAAGGCCTAAGTTTGTACTATATAATGCGGTTTTGATATTTGTTTTTAGTACTGGGGATTGAATCCAGGGCCATTGCACATTTTTGAGACAGTCTAGCTAAGTTTCCCAGGCTAAAGTCAAACTTGCAGTCCTCCTGCCTTGGCCTCCTGGAGTGGTGGGATTACAAGTGTGCACCACCACACCCGACTATATATACTGTTTTTTAGTGTGAAGGAGAAGAGTGTCTGCCTCCCATCCAAAAAGCACTGGCCAGTGGCTCTTAGCTTAATTTATTTTTTCCACTGGGAACATACTGTCACAATGGAAACAAAAATATCAGTCGGGCTGGAGGAGGTAAGGACAGGTGAAGGGAAGGTGAATGTACTTATTTCAGGCATGGTGAGATTAGTCATCTACTTCCTCTTGTTACTCAGAAATTCCGTCCTCACATCCATCCTGGGGGAAGGACACACATGAATTATACTCAGGCAGGAGCTATGATGGCTCTTCAGCCTTCCTGGTTTGGGCCCATGTTGCTGTTTAGTAATCCTTGTACCCTTGTCTGCTTCAGATATGAAAGCCAGTCCTACCAGGATTACTTCAGGAGCTCTGAGCAGGGAGGAGCCCCTCAACAGCTTGTGGGCCCTGCCAGTGCTCTCGGTGCTCTTCATGGTCCTGCCATCTTGACAAGACCTCTCTATCCTTTTAGCCCCTTCTGCACTTTAGCAGTCAGTTGCTGTGTAACAAATTATCCCAAAAACTATTGGTTTAAGACAACCATAAACATCCTCTCACCATTTCTATAGATGAGGAATTGGGGAGATGATAGGATATGCTTGATTTTTTTTGAGACCATCTCACTATGTAGTGAACTCATTATATAGCCCAGGCTGGCCTAGAATTCACTGAGATCCTCCTGCCTCAGCCACCTGAGTGCTGGGATTACAAGTGTGCACTGCCACACCCAGTTTAGGCTAGGTAGTTGATTTAAATTGAATCATGAGGTACATTCAAGATACTGGCCAGGTTGCAGTCATCTGAAAGCTTGAGGCCGGAGGACCCATGTGCAGAGAGGCTGTCTTATGTTTATTTTTTGTATCTTATGTTTTGACATCTTGGGGAAGGAACTTACAGAGCTAAGGATAGACTACACTCTCCTAGCACTAACTCTTAAAGATGGTTAAAAACTTCCTTGAGAGAATGCTTCCCAAGAAAGCCTCTAACTTTCCCACACCAAGCCATCACACTAAGTCATCCTAGGATCAGATACCAGGCAACTAGAGACCTCTATAGTTGGGAGCCCACTCAGTCCCATTGCCCCCTCCCAGTGTCATCACCGTCACCTGTTAACTGAAACCCCACAGGTACAAATGAGACAGGCTTGTTCCCACAGCTGAAAAGGTTGGTTCCAGCTGTTGGCTAGAGGCCTCTGGGACCTCTCCTGAGAGCCAGTGATCTGAATGAAGGCAGAAGCTACAATGTCTTTTTTTTTGAGATGGGATTTTGGCCAGATGCAGTGGCACAGGGCTGTAGACCTAGCTAGCTACCCAGGAAGCTGAGGCAGGATCGTTAGCATAGTTTGAGCCCAGCCTGGGCAAGATAGACCTTTTCTCTTTTCTCCCTTCAAGATGGGGTTGCACTGTGCTACTTAGGCTACAGTTCAGTGGCTATTTGCAAACACAAGCCTACTGCCGATCAGTAGGCTGCCATGTAGCCTGATGGTCCCCTGCTCCTGGAAGGTCACCATATTGGTGTCAGACCTACCCTCACTAATTTGACAACTATGGTTCCCAGTTATTTGCACCTTGTAATCTCTCAAGCTGAGGTATTAGGCACTCACGGTAACTTACCCTCAGATAAATCCCAGTGCAAAAGGCTGGTGAGGGGGCAGAGGCTTCAGTCACCCAACACCAAACCTGTACATACCAAGGGTTACTAGGAACTGTAACTCTGCAGGGGTTCTCAGCTTGGGGGATTTTGTCCCCCAGGAGACATCTGGCAGTGTCTGGAGATGTTTTTTGATTGGGGATGGAAAACGGCCACCTAGTGGGCAGAGGGCAAGGATGCTGCTAAACATCTGGTAACATGCAAGACAACCTCTAACAAAAAAAATCAACCAGTCCCACATGTCAATATTGCTGAGAGAAAGCGTGTTCTGGAGTCATAGCAACACTCCAATGACTGACTCTGTACCAGAAGACATCTTAGCCAGGTGCAATGCCTGTGATCCTAGCAACTCAGCGCCTGGGCAACTTGCAAAACCTTGCTTCAGAATAAATAAATTAAAAAATAAATAAGAAAGAAAGGCTAGGGATGTAGCTCAGTGGTAAACCTGGGTTCAAGCCCTATTACTAAGAAAGGGTGAGAGGGAAGCAGCTATAACCACTCTAGTAATGCTAAACATTTCTTCATTCAACTATTAGCTGGACACCCACCAAGAATCAGACACGGCCACACTTTAAAATGGAGTTTGAAGAGATTTATTAAAATGTTCAAAAGTGAATGACACATTAGGACTCTCCTCATGAAGTGAAGAATACACTTGACACACACTGGCAGGAAACAGAGGTGTGGGCTCCCAGAGCTGGTCCAAGTGGCCACTGAGGCAATAAATCTTCATTCACCAGAGGGGCTTCCTGGTTGTGCTGTCTCTGCCATGGCTTCCAGCCAGGTCCCTATGATTTCCCCAAACCCTCCACCCCAGCATCAGCAGATTCTGCCGCCCTTGACCCTCCTGACTCAAGACCCAGGTCAACAGGCTAGAATCCTCAGCCCATCCCTGTGGTGTGCTGCTCTGCCACCCACCCTCGGGCTAGGGGCACAGATGGGGCTGGCCTGTGAACACATCACACAGTCAGAAGCACCCAGGGGTACATTAGTAAGGGGCTCTTGGACACCAGCCCAGTAAAATCATGGCAGACGGTATGGAATCCTCTAGCAAGCAAAGACAATTCCTCAGCCATGGTCACATGCAGCTATTCTGCATGCCAGACACAAGAGGCTCAAGTGGCTGGTGTTGGCTCCCATCGTCCCCCGCACACAGCAGGGCCACCAGATCTCCATCTTGGTCAGGTCTCTCCTGCCTCTTCCTGCCTTTAAATGGTGCCACCACTCTGCTTCTCTGTGTTCTGGGCATTAGCTCATTTTTCAATGGGGAGGATAAAAGGATGGCAGGGAGGGTGGAAGGGGAGATAGGGAAAAACCACCCCATAACACAAAACAATACAAAACCCAGAAACCAGATTTAGACAATATTTATAATGAAGCTATTGAAAATACTACATGCTAACACAGATAATATGATACACAACTTTGGAGGTGGAGTAGCAGGGAGAGCAGGGCAGAGGCCAGAGGCTTAGACCAAGAGCCGTTCAATAGACTGCTGGATGGACTGGATCTGCTGCTTCAGCTGAGAGCCTTCTTTGATGGTGACAGAACAGGCAATAACCGGCCTGGAGACCCCACAGGCCCGCCCCAGCGCCTGCTTGGAGCGCACGAACACATAGGGCACATTCTTGTCTTCACACAGCAGCGGGAGGTGCAGGATGATCTCCAGGGGCTCCGCGTCTGCAGCCATCACAATGAACTCAGAGATGCCCCTGTTGAGGGTCTTGGTGGCTGTGGAGACAAGGACTTGAGGCTAACGTGTGATGTGGGGGTCGGGCTGTGCAGCCACAACAAAGCAATTTCCCAGGAAAGGAGGACAAGTGCAAGAAAACTGAGCAAAGGCCCAGGCACAAGCAGTTATGCCCTGGAGCGGGCTGGGATGTGGGAAGGGCGCCACACACCAAGTAGCCATCTTCAATGCCTCTTCCTCAAACAACCTCAACCTGACTGCTGCTTTCCTGTGTGCAAGTCACCATCATCTCCTTGGTGCCCAACTGTACCAGCCCAACTGCTGAGCCCACCAGCATGAAGCAGCACAGCGCACACTTCACCAACCAAACTGCCTCCTTGGGAAGACCTCACCTGAATATTGCCATCCCCTTCTTACTCCCTTTTTCTTTACAGAACTCTTTCCCTCCAGACATACAAATTCTGTCTTCCTTCACTGGAGCATAAGCGAATGTAAAGGAGTCCTCTGCTGGGAACAGTGGTACACGCCTGTAATCCCAACACTTAGCCCCAGGGAGGACTGCTGTGAATATGAGGCCAGCCTGAACTACAGAGTGAGAGCCTGTCTCAAAAAACAAACAACAGGGCCGGGGATTTAGCTCAGTGGTTTTGCCGCCTGTTGCGCAAGCACAAGGACCCGAGTTCAATCCCCGGTACCAAAAAAAAAACACAACAAAAACTACGACTGGGGATGTAGTCTCTCAGTTCAACCCCTAGTACCACAAAAATTCTATATTATCTCTGGGCAGAAATGTCATTGCATATGTATTTATTCTACTAAAAAATTGCTGTTTAAAAAAAAACACAAAAGGGGAATATTTCTGAGAAGCAAATCAAATTCCTGGATGTTGAATACTCATGGTATTAGAGATACAGAGTATTAATATTCCTTTCCTTTTGATGGTTCTGGAGTGGACACAAAGTTAACACACAGGGCCGAGAATTTAGCTCAGTGGCTCCCTGCCTGCCTCCCAAGCACAAGGTCCTAAGTTCGATCCCCGGTACCAAAAAAAAAGAGCAAAATTAATACACTAAATTTTCTTTCTCTCTTTTTTCTTAGTACCGAGGATCAAAGTTGGGACCTTGCACTCTCGAGGCAGACGCTGGAACCACTGAGCTAAATCCCTGGCCTACACTGAATTTCCAACAGCTGCCTTTCAAAGTCCCACAGAAATAAATAAAATGCATTTATAGGGCTGGGGATTTAGCTCAGTGGTTTCGCTGCCTGCTATGCAAGTGCAAGGACCTGAGTTCGACGATCCCTGGTACAAAAAAAAAAAAAAAAAAATCATTTATATATTAAGAGATAAAGGTAGTTCTGAGTACATTAGCATCTAATGCCAAAGTATTGTTCTTAAGCCCTCCCATGACCAGATAAGAATATCCAGGGAGGGGGAGAGAAAACAAAAACCACCAGCTTTCCTTCCTAACTGGAAATCTGGACTAGAGGTCCCAGACAGAGCTATTGCCCTTGAGAGGCCCCCCATAGCCCCTGTGGCTGCCTTACCCTCGTTGGCTCCTTTCCGGAGCTGCTTGTAGTTGCATGACTGCTGAACAAGGTCCAGCAGCTTCTTGGTGAGGTGCGCATCTGCGAGGGGATAGGCCTTCGGGTTAACGTCAGCCTCAGTCTGGGGCGAGGAGGAAACACAAGCATTAGTCAAGCTGGACTAGATGCCACTTCAGATGAGTTAACAATACATAATTGGAAACAAGAGACATGGTGGCCAGCTTGCTTCACTGCAACTGCACCTCCAAACACACACACTTTCATTAACACAGCCTGTTTACTCTACAGTTTAGAGAAACTAAAATATTCTAAGGGGAGGGGCCAGGGATTTAGCTCAGTGTTTCTGCCACCTGCCTCGAAAGTGCAAGGACCGGAGTTTGATCCCCGGTACCAAAAAAAAAAAAAAAAGATAAAATATACTAAGGGGAGTAAACAATTACACAGCCCATTAAGGTCTCCTAACACATACCTTCATTTGCCTCTCTATCCTGCTGCTTGGTAACAGTACTGTAAATGGATTATAAACCGGCACCTATGGTTCAGCATCCATTTGAATTTCCATGCAGCAGTGATGGCGAACCTTTTAGAACTTTCAATAATAAAACAGCCAGCTACAGCACACATGCCACAGGTTCACCACCACTGCCACAGAGTAATCTTTAAATGTGGATTTTCAGGGCCAGGGATTTAGCCCAGTAGTTCTGCCACCTGCCTCGCAAGTGCAAGGACCCAAGTTTGATCCCCAGTACCAAAAAATAAATAAATAAAAAATTTGGATTTTCATAACCCACAAATTTACTGAATCAAAATTAAGGTATAATTTACAGTAAATGCAGCACAAATTCTCTCGTCATTCTCCATTTTATATGCAAATCTTTTTTAGTCTTTGGTGGGAATCCTGGTTTCCAACACATGAAAATACTTCCTTTCTTAGTCTATCCTACAATATACTCAAATAGTTACTTCCAATAAATTCACCAGGGTCAAAATTTCTTTTTCTTCTTAGGATGTAACCTGCCACAGCCATACAGTAAGAGTACCATGTGCAGCCACCGGTGCCTTGCAAGAGCAAGGTCCCAAGTTCAATCAATCCCTGGTACCAAACCAAACAAAAAAACACAAACGGAGAATACCATGTGCAAAAGTTATTTAAATTCATTTTCTCCTGGTAGTAATCAATTTGACACACAATTAAGAGTCTGTATACACACACACAAAAAAGAGTCTGTATACACAATTGTTTGTGTTTGCTTTTTTTTTTTTCTTTTTTTTTAGGTACTGGGGATCGAACTCGGGTCCTTGTGCTTGCACAGCAGGTGGCAAAACCACTGAGCTAAATCCCCAGCCCCTGTGTTTCCTTTTCAAAAAATATCCTTTTTTATGCCAGGCGTGGTGGCACACACCTGTAACCCCAGCACTTGGGAGGCTGAGGCATTGATCCTAGTAGGATCACTGCTAGGTCAAGGCCTTCCTGAACCACATAGTAACTAACACTCTGTCTCAAAAAAACAAATAGGGCTGGGAATTTAGCTCAGTGATTCTGCCACCTACCTCGAAAGCACAAGGTCCAGAGTTTGATCCCTGGTACCAAAAAAAAAAAACCAAACAAGTAAATAAAGTAAAATAATCATTTTTTCAAATACACAAATCTACATAGCTCCAAAATAGCTAATAGTGTCAATGCAGTGTTTTAAACTGGTAAAGAGAGCTGGGTGTGGTGGCACACACCTTTAATCTCAGCATTCAGGAGGCAGAGGCAGGAACATCATTGAGGCCAGCCTGGGCTACACAGTGAGTTCAAGGCCACCCTGAACTACAGGAGACCCTGTCTCAAAAAACAAAACCAAAAACTGGTAAAAGAAAACAATCAAGCATCCATCTTGCCTTTCTCACTATGGATGGTATTGCACAGTACACGACAAGTTTCTCCTCAATCATCTTTCCACCTAATAAACCAAACTGCTGCCACTCTGTCTTGACACACCAGTCAGGCAGGGCCCTACTTACACTGAGAAAACTGCATCGCTATAGGTTTGTATTGTTTTGTCTCCTGTGCCAGGCCTATAGAGAAAGTAACTGAAATGACCAATCTACCTTTTGTTCTTTGTTTCAGCTCTTTTCTGCCTATGAAACCAACCTCTTTCTGCTCATCCCACCAGAATACTTATTCTCTTTTGTGGAATAAAGTGTTGCCAAATTTTAGAATGGCAAAATGAAAGCCTTTCAGATCTTTAAATTGCTGTAATTCTTGTCTTTAACAAAAATTCATATTTAGAAAATTGGTGAAAAATACAATCTCTCTGCATAACATAGAAATATAAATAAAGCTAGGCATGTCTATGCACACTTGTAATCCCAGCACTTTGGGAGGCTTAGGCAGGAGGGTCTCAAGTTCCAGCCCAGCCCAGGCAACTTAGTGAGAGTCTCAAAATAAAAAAAAAAACAGGGCCGGGGATTTAGCTCAGTGGTTTTGCTGCCTGCTGCACAAGTGCAAGGACCCGAGTTCGATCCCCGGTACCAAAATAAAAATAAAAATAAAATAAAAAATAAAAAACCCCCCAAAAAACCAAGGCTTGAGAACACAGCTCAGCAACTCCTGGACTCAGTCTCCAGTACTGAGAAAAAGTTTCATTAGGACAGACTCATCAGGTTTTGGAGAAAACGCCAGAGTGAGCCTACCATGTGGGAGCAAGGCTAACAAGACCAATAACCTCATGTTAGTTGAAATTCTTCTGAATTATAATTAAGAACTAAAGAGGCAGGGACTTAGCTCAGTGGTTTCACCACCTGCTGTGCAAGCGCAAGGACCTGAGTTCGATCCCTGGTACCAAAAAAAAAAAGAACTAAAGTCATTATTCATTACTGGGAAAGACCAATACATACTATATCCCCCTTTAACAATTTAAAACAAATTTTTAAATATTTTCTGGTACTGGGGAGTGAAGCTGCAGTTGTCACACTAAGGTACATCCCCAGCCACACACACCCCCATTTTTTTCTGGTTCAAAATAGCCACAATTTTATTTTTTTTCCTTAAATTCTTTTATTGGTACATTTTACATATCCATTTACATTTATCATTGGGTACTTGTACCTGTACATGAT